CCCAATCCTTCACGTCACGTTGATTGACACCTGTCATTATCTGAAAAATTCTCATTAAGCGAGCAGGAATGGAAAAGGGGGGGGGATGGAAAAGGTCGTTCCAAGGAATTAATTATTGGAGCGACAATTCATTCGAGTTTTCATCTGGCAGTCACATCTCCTACACTGACAGCTGTCGCTGACACTTTTCAAGTCTGGAAGTAGTGCAAGGATTTCTCTGCTCTTCACGACTTGGAGAACTTGCGATAATTAGACGATTCCTCGCTTATCGCATTCCCCCTCCCAGCTTTTTCCTGATTCTCGCCTTTTTCGCTCGTCGCCTCCGCATTTCTCTCCCGAAAGGAAGGCGAAGTTCCTCGATCACGCATGGCGACCTACGCCTCTCACGTGAGACGTCCGTGGGGACTCGGGGAAGCCGTGAATTCCTTCAGGAAGAACTAAAGGTGGGAAAGCACACCGAAAGCAGCAGTTTCCCCCTTTACATCCAGTGAGCCTGAACTTCTCCGGGCCATTGCGTCTCCAGTTCCGTCTCGTAGCTCACGTACGAACTGGCATTATTTTGACTCTGTGGAGCCCCCTCCCCGATAGGAATCGGAGAAGGGAAGGAACAGATGTGTGATTTGCCCACCCAGGGACGGCGAGATCCCATCCTGGGCTTTCATTGACGGTACCTACAGAGGGAAAGCATTGCATCTAGGAGGAATGCAGCCATTGTCACGCTGAAACAATGTGCTGCTCATTCCCCGACAATGACGGGGCAGAAATCGTCTATAGAGCCTCTCTGATTCTTGACAAGGACAGATACCTCGGGGCAGTATCCAACCGAGCAGCCCTCCATCAGCCAATTTCGGGTCGTCCTGAGAAAAATGACATAATTTCCAGGTGGGTACCATATTAATCTACCTCATCCCCGCTGGGCCCCTCGCTCTTTCCTTCTCCCATCATCGCCATCCATCAGGCAGACAACGGCCTTCAATCACGCCCGTCATATATGCCAGCAGGTTTGGCATGGATGGATTCCATCGTGTCATGTGTCTCGTGTCCTTTCTTCCCGCCTTCCTCTTGCTCGTTGTGCCCAGAATCCTTAACTTGGGAGTCTTCTCTCTCCCTCCCATGTCAATCAAGGGCTTATCTTTGTTGGGAATTCAGTTGGGGAAGACATAAAGCGTTATGTGATACACTAAGCAGTTGTAAAGGCAATAAAGAGCCCTCCATTATGGGAGACGAGGGAAAGCGTATCAAATGAAAGCATTAGCAATCAGTCTGTACCCTCCCCACTGCAAGTCCGCAGATAGAACTCGATACAAAAGCAGAGAGACATGAGCGGAATGGCGAAAATCATTGCAGGGATCGGGGGCCGCGCGTCGATGCCGAAAGGATGGGAGGAAAGAAGAGAAAAACGTGAATAAAGGACTAAAGGGTGGATAGAAAGTGGGCAGAAAGTTGAGGTCAGCTGTTGTCCATGCGGTCCGACGCCACATGCGAGCCCTGTCACATCATTAGTCTCCCACTTGAAAGGTTGGGAATAGAGGCGGTGGACAAGAAAGAGAAGAAAAAAAGAGACTGAGCGGGGGGAAAGCAGGGAAGAAAAGAGCAGAGGGGGAAGGATGGATAGCGCGAGATGGAGTGAAGGCCAGTATGCAAATCTCACACTGATGGATTACAGGTGCCTCCTGTGAGCCAATTATGTCCCAGTCGACAGACACACATCGGATCAGGCAAGAGAGAGGCCGGTTCGGCGTGAAGAAGGGATGGGAGAAAAGCAGACGGGAGGGAGGAAAAAAGAAAAGCATCCCCGTTCGTCTGTCTGTCATTCCTCTTCATCACTCTCTCTCTCTCTCTCCCCCCCCCTCTCTCTCTTATATTCTGCAGCCTCCACCTTTGTGCAGGTTCCTCTTAGTAGGGTGCAAAGGGAATCCATTTTTCACCCCCCTAACAATAAATTTAATTGGATGACTCCTGATTGATGGTACATGGACAATAGATGCAATTAACTGACCACCTTCTTCGCGTCATGTCAATCTCCGTCATCTAAAGATATGCAAGGCAGATGACTGGACAGAATTTTATGCCTACAGGTTGCACGTGTAATTAGGTGCATACCTATGCTATCTATCTATCTGGGATAGGATCAATCAGAGAGCGGCTTTCATAATGACGACAGCTGACAGGCTATCTTGGCTCCGCCTTTTGTTTCGTGAAAAATGAAGCCTTTATGGGGACAGGCTGAAATGGTGTACGGAAAAGGAAATAATGTCCTGTCCAAAACGTTGTCAATCATTCCATGAAAAATGTATATGCACGTGACAGCCACGGCCCAATACAAGAGGGAGACAGCACATTGTTGTGGAGGGCCCCTGGAGAGAGCGAGCGAGAGAGAGAGAGAGAGGAGAGCCGGTCATGGCTTGCCTTTGCGCCTCCTCGTCCTCCCCGTTCTCCCTTCTCTTCCCTCGCGTTCTCATCATCATCACCATCATCATAGTCGTCGTCGTCGTCGTCATCCCCATCCTCATCCTCGTCCTCATCTTTCCCCTCTTGCCTCTTCTCATTCCTATCCCGTTTTGCGCGACTTTTGGGAAATTAGCGTCTGAGGAAATTTGCCATTTCAGAAATTACCTCAGGAGCGTGAATGCAAAATTCATCCCCCCCGAAGCACATCCCCATATCGACGATAAAAAAGGAAGATAAAAGAACATGGCTCCCTAGCAGCACCATTGTTCGCAGACGAATGGTCCAGCATGCTGAAGAGCTCCAAGGTTTATTAGCGCACGTTTCGCAGTTTTCAGGCGTTGATGTTATGAGAAGTATATGAGGGGCAGTCCATTCAAACGTTGTGCGTTTAGTCGTGTTCTTTCTTCTTTTTTTTTTTAAGAGGGCTTGGATTCACGCTTTCTCCTCTTCATGAGGCGGGGATAGACGTTGAACCCAACGTCACGTCTCGCAGCCACCCTTCCATTCCACGTGGATTTTCCCCTCTTGTGGTGGCTCAATTAGAAAAGCATTTGCCGAGAACGAGGGGTGTCCAGGTCGAAGCTTTCTCTACGTTTCTGGCATTTGTGGTATCGTCTGAGCTCCCCTACATGGCTAGAATAATGAAACGGGTACTTAAAACGGCTCGGAACTCTCGCAAACGCCCCTTTGTACGGGATTGTGACAGAGGTATGCCCCGAGCACCCTTCGAACCGCTTATGAATCCCAGATAAGACGGGGGGGGGGGGGGAGAAGAGAAACGTGCGTATTTGCTACGGTCTGTCAAGGTCACGAGCGAACGCCACGGGACGGACGTACTTCGCGAGCGAGCGAGCGAGCGAACCCGGGCCGACGGGACCAGAAAGCAGAAAGGCTGGAAGGAACGATTCAATCGTAGCCCTACGCCAGTGAGTCAGCTAGCTATTCAAGGCACGAAGCTTTCCATCTTAGTGGGCAAGCTGTCAGTCAGAAAGAGGGAACCCTGGCTGGTCTAGATCACTCCACAATCCATCATCCATGCCACTTCCCAGCAGGCGTCAGTCTTTTCGGCCCACCTGGATGGATTCAAGGGACACTTGCACCATGCGGGGGGAGAAAGAAGACGGACTCGCTGCCCGAATCATGCTGGAAAGCTCGAAGGCCACTAAATTCAAATTTTTTCCTCCTTTCTGTCCGAAATTTATGACACCCAATTGGTAGGAAAGATTGCGCTCAGCTGACAAAGATAAACAGCCTTTATATCACTAATGACAGATGCATATTGACCAAGAAGATTGCTTCCTCCCTTGGAAAGCAAGACAATTTTTCATAATGACGTTTCAATTGTATATCTTCTATGAATCATTCTTCATTGACAGTTCATCAGCCCTGCCTAGGGGGAAGTTTCCTTTTAGAATGGTGACCTCTCTAATCATATTGGCAATCCTAGATTGACAGGACTGCCTAGTCATTCTTTTTCGGTTCCTTTGTGTATTGCCATTCCTCTTCTTTCTTCATCTTCCATCCCCCTCCATCTGTACATCCGACCCCTCCTCCTGAAAATTGAACACAGATCCTAATGGAAAGAGTGTTGTCCATAACTCTTCATTCGAAGCGGCATCCTTCCACCGATTTGAGATTGAAACAAATGCGTTTCTAGGGGTCTCCAGAGGCCATCAAAGTTTTTCTTTTCCCGATAAGTAGGATTATCGTATCCCCTCCCAGATTCCGCATCCGATGGTCACCGAAGCCCCTCGAGGGATCGGCAACATCGACCGCTGCCGCCGCTGCCAGGCTTCAGCTGCCCCCGCACGTTGTTGTTTCGGGAGAGGCTTCGCACTCGATGACCGACAGACGCTCTAGACTAGCTCTAATTAGTCCTATAAATCCACGCCCCAGATCTGGGGAAGTTTTTATTCTTTTCCAGAATAGAGCTGTCAAGGTACCAGATGGATACCGCATGAACACGCGATGAAAAACTCATCCGGTGTGGAGTATGGCGGCTAGAGGGCCCCAGCTACAGGGCCCTAAGCGTTACCACAGCTCGAAAGAGAGAGAAAGAGTGAGAGAGAGAGAGAGAGAGAGAGAGAGAGAGAGAGAAGGGGGGGGGGGGAGAGAGACAGAGAGAACGAGCGCGAGGGGTAGTTATTCTAATCAAGAATGGGTCGCCTGATAGATTCCCGTCCATCACCCCCGTCTGACCCTTTTTCATTGCAGCGTCCCCATTTTTCTTCCATACTAATGATTTATGAGCCGAAATGGTTCGTTGGAATGGAATGAAGGGGAAGGGAATATTTCCTCCGCTGTAAGCATCGCATCAGCCTGCCAGCGGTCTGCCTGCCCAGGTATCCATCCATCCCTTCGCAGGGTTTGGGAAAAGCCCGGCTTCATCCACCCCATGGCCCCGACGAATAGAACTGGAGCCATAAATCCATTTGACGCTCTGCCCTATTCTCTTTTTTCTCTTGATAGGATGAAATAAATTCTTGTAATCACAACTGCGAACAAAAGGAAGATGACGGCAATAATGCAGCCGAGTTGGACGTTGACAAATGTGTGCGCGGCCATCATTGTTGGCTTTGTTCGACTGTTCACTTTCCAGAGGCAACATGGAGTTCAGGCGGCCCCTCCTATATACATCCCCCCCTTCTCACTTTTTTTTTTGTATATAATTTTTTTTTTCTTCCTTTCTCTCACTTTTCCCTCTTTCGCCTCGCCATTAATCGAAGGCCAAAGTGCTTGTTTCCATGCAACGGCTATGAAGACTCCTTCACGATTTGGCGAGAACGCCCTCGTCGCCACAGTTTCGCCGGTTATGGTGGGGTGTCGAACACAATGCCGACATAAATCCGTTTGATTGGTCACGTTGCAAGGGGTTTCTTCCGTCGAACTGCCGTTAATGACCGGCCTAAACTTTTACGGCAAAGTACCCAAGCGCTAGTACCGTATGCATTCCCACGTGATACTGCCTGTGCAACGAGAGTGAAACAACATTGCTGTGCTTTCGGTCCCCCGTGACAGCTTATTTGTTACATTGTCTCGACACTTATTGAACAGTCATTATCAACTTCCTCTTCCCAGCTAGGGACACGCAACAGACCCATTAAAGGAGAAAATGTGAAATGTATCTACCTGGATAGAAAAAAAAGGCAGTTATTTTCCCCCCTCTCCCCCCAACCAGAGACGATGATGTTATTATCCCCCTTTAACGACCCTCGTTGATGTTCCTTGCAGTCGAGGATGAAGCCAGGGCAGGACTGGCCACCTCAGCCATGGAGGAAGGCGAAGATGGAGCCATCAGCCACGATGATGAGGAGGAGATCATCACGAAGCCGAAGGGGTCCCTGGGATCTGCAAGCCCGGCGGCTGAAGTCGAGCCCGATACCGCTGAGAGGTAGGTACCGTGCTGTTATTTACCGTGCACTTGGCGCCTGGCGTCGTTCTCCTCGCAAATACATGCAAATGCGGCCGCCATGAAAGTTCGACGCCCTTCCTAACTGCGCGTAAAATCCGGAAAGGCAAGCAGGAGCTCGTGACAGGGTGTAATATTTCTCTTTGTTCTTTTTTCTTTTCTTAAGGGGTCTCATGAGCAGCGGTGAAGAGAGTGGAAGAGAGGACTCGCCGTTGGACTTTAGTGTGAAAAAGGAAGGAAGCGGGTCGCGCGAAGCCCCGACTCCCCCGTCTCCACTGAATTTGAAACGGCAGAATTCCCGGTCCTCGCCAGTGGCCACGACTGGACCGTTGGACTTATCCGTGCCAAGGAAACGGCCATCTTCCAATGATCTCGGATTGCGGGCCGGACGAGCGAAGCAGGTGAGGCCGACCGCAAACGCCAGCCCGCCGGCACCCTCCGCCCTGGAGTCCATGAAGGCTCTGGAGAGGATGCAGGAGTTGACCCGCCTCAGCGGACCGGCTCAGGTATCCCAACTCTTTGGGCAGCTGGGGGCGTGGCATTCCCCCTGGTTGGGAGCGGCCGCCGCGGCCGCAGCGGCAGCGGTCTCATCATCGACGCGGGTCCCACCTAGCATGCCGCCGACGAGCAGCGCCTCCCCTGTCGATCCTCTCACCCGGGACATCATGAGGTGTGTTTGGTGCAGGCAAAGTTTCTCGACTTTGGCCGAACTCAGCACTCACATGAGGGAAGCCAAACATTGTGGTCC